GATGATTCAGTGGACTCAACAATGAAGAAGTAAAAGAGAACTCAACTTAACAGGTCTGAGAAGAGAAAAGGGATAAGAAGCCAGGGAGAAAAAGAAGGTTGCTAAAATGGGTGGAGAAACTGACTGAGGTATGTACTGCACTCCGTTGCTAGAGAAAGTGTGCGAAAATCCTTGAACACGTTCAGAATAGCTGCAATGAACAGGAACTCTGCTATACAGACACAGAAAGTGATCATATTAGTGTGGTTTTAAATAGATTTTAAAACATTTGATTTTAACAAGCCAACAACTTTAATTAGACTAATGCCTGACCTTTTCACCATGGCCAGCTGATGTTTGTAAAGGAGTCAGAGCACACGCCTGAGGAATAACATCCATCTTTTTCTGATACAGCAAGAGAAAGTGTGCCATCTAGTGGGTAATTCCTCACACTGACACCAAAATTATCTGCATTTTTTCCCCACACCCAGAAAGCCTACTCCCTTCCAGAAACACTATTATTCATCAAAAATAATTTATTGCCTGACTTTTGCAAGATTTACTTACATTAAAAGATGTCTCTGAGGTTACAGTGCCCCCTGGCAAAGCCAAAATTCACTGAAGTCTATGAAAGTGAAGGGCACTAGTACAAAACGAAGTCCTTCTCTGAAAGTAACTAACCACCAGGTCATCCAATCCCATGTTCAATATAAACATACTGTCATCAATGTACTACAGAGAGAGAGCAGGAATAAAAGGTACACACTTTACTGACACAGACCAATAGAATCACAGCTCATCCTTAGCAATCAAGAGTTACAATTGTTTATATCATCCAGCAGTACCTTTTCTAAAGACAGTATGCTGTTGAGCAAATAAAGCGACTAATACATTTAATACACAGTAAACAGATTTCAACTTTCAAATTTTATAACATTTTCCCTCTTGCAGATGAAAACTGATGTGGCGGAAGAACTATAGATCTGGAATAAATGAAGGCTAAGCTTAAGAGTCCCTGGCAGTCCATGGCAATGTAAATATAAAGGGTCACACGTAATACACCACTCTTAAGAAAGAAGAAGCATCTAGTAAATTGGAAAGTGGACAGCATTAGGACATGAACACAGAGGAATCCTTTGGTCAAATGCCTACGAACCTACAGACAGCTTCATGATAGGAGTACAAGTGGACTGTAAAAGACTGAATGCTGTGCGATATATTTTATTATCTGGGTAAGGAGTAGGGCGTTAAGTAGCGATTAATTTGCTAGTCAAGTAGTCAATGCAATTTCCATCAACTATTTGACTAGTTGATAAGCACTTCCGTGTTCCACCTTTTGAAAGGTACAAAAGCCCCTGCTGGGGACTCTTGTACATTTCAAAGCTTGCACATCACATGGAGCCTGATCCCAGGCTCCAAGCGGTGCTGCTGCTTTGAAATGCCACATGTAGCCAGAGTGCCGCGTAGAACCCAGGGTCAGCTGGGGAGTCCCCAGCTGATCCTGGGCTCCACGCTGCTGTTTTGAAATGCCGCAAGGAGCCTGATGTCGGGCTCCCTGAAGCATTCAAAGTGGCACCGCCCCATGGAGCAGCTGACCCCAGAATCTGTGTGGCGCTGCCGCTTTAAGTACCCCTCTTCCCCCCCGCCCGCTGCCTCTATCAGACAGAGGTAGCGGGGGGGGGGGCAACTAATCAACTAGTCTTTAACATCCCTAGTAGGAAGGGGCGCAGCTTAGAACATCATCATATTGGTAAACTATTGAAATTATGCTTACATTATATAGAGTATAAATAAGAATAGCATATGCTGTTCTTACCTCCATAAAAGTAGGAAGAACTTTGAAGAGAATGAAAAATAGCAGTGGGAGGACAACATAAAACAATTCAGGTCAGAGATGTAATATTAGCCAGTCTTCTATTATTTCTAGTGTTTAGGTGAGGGAGAAATCATGGAGAAATCAAAGAAGATGGAACTGATTCCCATCACTTGGTTGAGATGGCAACAATTCATAACGCATGGTCATGGACTTCAATACAGAGAGAGAAACCTTTGAATGAGGTATCTAGTTTTAATACTTTTTATAGTTTATTTCCACAAAAGGGGCAGCAATAGAAGGCAATCGCCGTATCTCCCATAAAACTCCCCAAAAATATAAGCCAAACATCACTATGCTTAACGCTCTAAGAAGATGGCCCCCTCCTTTCCAAATTTTTATTAGATAAAATTACACACCAAAGCCCTGCTCACAAACTAATCTGACAGGGAATCTGCAGGGACCAGGCAATCAGTGAACACAAGCCACTGCAAGCAGATGTAGAACAGAAGCCCTAGAGAATAGCTAGAGGAAATGAGAAACCATCCTCTCCCAGAAAGCCAGAGGTTGAGTGCTCTCTTCCCCTGCATTCCATGTATAAATGGAGGAACTAATAAGAAGAGATACAAGGACCTACTGCATTCCCTTTCTTCTTGCTTATCTAGACAGACAGTACACATTGCACTAGCTCTTTGGGATAACCATCCAACTGTTCCCATTCTCTGTTACTCACTGTCTAGCAATTAACTTTCCTCAAGCTTTCACAAGTGATATGTTCCAGGAATATGACTGGGACAATGATCTCCTTTTACACTTATTCTCATATCACTGGCTGAAAATGAACATAATTCATGCTGAAAGAAGCCTGGATAAAAAGCTCACCCCGATTCCACTTGGTGCAATCACATGCAAAAGGTGATTTTCTTGAGAACAATTTGTTCTTCTGTACAAAGATACACCCTTAATAGTGCTAAACAACTTGGCACAATCAAAAATCTCACTAACACTTTTCATCAAATATTCTGATTTTAAATGAAGAGGTTATAAATCTTCATTTCCTTCCCACTGGGAAATTACCTCATTAAATCTTTAACAGCTTGAAATAAGTAAAAGCTTCCATACTACTGTCTGGCAGAGAGAAAGTTTGGGAAGGATGAACTCAGTATTCAGTACTTCACTTTCCTACCATTGGAGAGATGATGCAAGTCTGAACATATGCATCCTGAACAGAGGCAGGGGATGGTCTCAGCAGTATTATCTACCTACGTTCATTAGCTTATGATTCACTCTGAACACAAAGAATTATAAGAAAACCAAGGTGATATTCCTTGTGATACAATCCTCTTTTACTTAAACAGCACTGTACCAGTACAGAATCATAGAATAATAGGACTAGAAGGGACCTCAAGAGGTCATCGAGTCCAGCCCCCTGCCCTCAAGGCAGGACCAAGCTCCACCTACACCATCCCTGACAGATGTCTATCTAACCTGTTCTTAAATATCTCCAGAGAGGGAGATTCCACCACCTCCCTTGGCAATTTATTCCAATATTTGACCACCCTGACAGTTAGGAATTTTTTCCTAATGTCCAATCTAAACCTCCCCTGCTGCACTTTAAGCCCATTACTCCATGTCCTGTCCTCAGAAACCAAGAGGAACAAATTTTCACCTTCCTCCTTGTGACACCCTTTTAGATATTTGAAAACCACTATCATGTCCCCCCTTAATCTTCTTTTTTCCAAACTAAACAAGCCCAGTTCATGAAGCCTGGCTTCATAGGCTTCTCTAGACCTTTAATCATTCTTGTCACTCTTCTCTGTACCCTTTCCAATTTCTCCACATCTTTCTTGAAATGTGGCGCCCAGAACTGGACACAGTACTCCAGCTGAGGCCTAACTAGTGCAGAGTAGAGCGGCAGAATGACTTCACGAGTTTTGCTTACAACACACCTGTTGATACAACCTAAAATCATATTTGCTTTTTTTGCAACAGCATCACACTGTTGACTCATATTCAACTTGTGGTCCACTATGACCCCTAGATCCCTTTCCGCCATGCTCCTTCCTAGACAGTCGCTTCCCATCTTGTATGTATGGAACTGATTGTTCCTTCCTAAGTGGAGCACTCTGCATTTCTCCTTATTAAACCTCATCCTGTTTACCTCCGACCATTTCTCTAACTTGCTAAGGTCATTTTGAATTATGTCCCTATCCTCCAAAGAAGTTGCAACCCCACCCAGTTTGGTATCATCTGCAAATCCCATCATGCCATCATTTTGCATGCACAACTTCTACTCTTTTTGTTTGCTGTAAAGTGGCAATTGACATGGTAAGGAAAGGAACCCACGAGGGGAATTTTGGATCTGGGTTAAAAGTCGCAGGTCAAGACTTATTCTTGTATAAAGCATAGCTCTCAATGCCAGGATACACAAAGGAAAGCAGTTCTTTTGCGCAAAACACCTCTCTTCCCACCAATATCAATGGGAAGAAGATGCAGCATATCCCACTTTTGGTTATATCACATACAAATTAGAAAATCCAGAACTATCATCTAGTTCAATGCTAAAAGAGGTTAATTTCTGTATCTACAGTATAACATATCAGCCCTCTCTTTGACTAGACTTACAATCATCTCATTGACCCTAGAGAAATTTTCTCTGCGCCATAAGTAATAAATGTTTATTTCACCTCTCCCTTCATATAAAACACAGGATGATAAAAGAAAGAGCTGTTAAGAAGTAACTTTGTAAAACAACATGTCAGGTCAGTCTGAGGTTTAATTATAGAAATTATATATACAATAATGCATCATAAACTTATAAAAATGACTTGCCATACAGATCATGAAAGTCTCTAAGCTTAATATGGTTAAACAAACTCAATTCCTTCTAAACATGAATGTAATTATACAGAAGAAGTTTAGAGAACTAAGAACGGAACCAGCTTCCCACCTACCTCAGTCTGAAACAGACTGAGTCGGGCTGTTAGTTACTAGTTCACAAATGAATCCCAACACAGATACTGCAAGACTGTTTGTATTTAAGGAGGCATAATTATATACATTGTATAGCCGTGAGAAAGAGGAATACCAACAGACAAGTTTGCACATGTGAGGACAGATAAGGTGGATAGTCTGACAAGCTTAAGCAAGCAAGATCACTGAGAGGTAAAGCAAGTGCAACAGAAGTTTTAACTCCATCAGAACATACCTGATACTTAAGCCAGTGCTTTGGTCTAGTTTTTCCCAGCTTTTCAACTTTCCCAGAAGTTTCTAGGGAGGAAGCCAAAAGAAGTCATTAAAGAAATCCAAATTTTGTCCTCACATCTTAACACCTATGGCTGCATTTTTCATTCCCTCCAACTTCGTCTTTTCCACTTTCTTCCTGTGGACTTTGTCATCTATCCACGGCCAAAGCACTGCTGAAGCTTCATTCTGTGTCCTCAAGACACTATTAACAGCAACATTAATATTCTCAACTACCACAGTTACATGGCACAATGCACCATTTCTTGCCATCCATTATCTATCCATGTGAATTAACCCCCACTATACTATATCCTGTTACTGCAGAGATCAAAGAATTTAAACAGTATTCCAAGCATGCCAATTCTAAACCAGCTGCAGTGCCCAATTTCCCTCCCCCATCAATGGGATATACATCACAGTTCTCTATGCTTTCAATCAGATTGGATTGCCCAAGATAATCGCTTTTCACTACAACAGTTTTCATGACCAGGTAATTAACTTGGAAAATTACTTTATCTTTGACTAAGAGTGAAGTGGAAGGGATGCTGCTGGTGACAGCAAGACAAATAAATCAATAGTATGTGGTCTCTACCACCAGCAGCAGTGATCTGAGGTTTTGCAACAGGCTCCCATTATGTGTCTATTGTATAATAATACCTCTGGGACGCACTTAGGAATCAAAAGTACATTCATAAGGTGAATATTAAGGTGAAAAGGAGATGTGAAAGTGAAGATGAGCTGTTCCTAAGAGAAGTCTTTAAGATGAACAATGGATAGAGCTTTGGTTTTCTTCCTCATTATGAACACTCCCCTCATAAGGTATTCTACATCCTATGCTATATATTGGGGCAGGGCCAGTATGAAACATGAACAACAGTAATCACAGTCTATATTCTATGTCAAAAGGAACTAAAATTCCATAAAAGCCCACACAAGCAAGAGCAGTAGATCCAATTTTACTTATACAGCAAGCATTCTCTGCTCCTCACCTCATTTTCCAATTCAAGGGTCACAAGATCTGCCTGAACCTTTTCAAAGCGCTCAAGTTTCCTCTGGAGACCTTCCACCTCCTCTCTGAGTAACCCATTGTTTTCCTTCATTTCCCTGATAAAAAGAGAAAGGGCAAAGCCATTAAAAAGCCACCATAACAAATCAATTCTCTTGTGCAAACTCCTGGATATACACACAATTACAGGGAAGCATAAGGCATTGCAAAAGCCATTATGACTTTGAGCCAAAGTGGTAACCTTCTATAACCTTTGCTACAAAGAGGCTGTTAACTCAGGAGGCACCATTCACTGGGCTGAGTTTCTTCACTCCAAAATGCCGAGTTATGTGCAAACATGTTAAAATTTCATACCTGCTTTACTGATTGTACAACAACAGAATTTAAAGTAACACAACAGCCTTGACATTATGATGCAGCATCAATATGAATGCAGGTCTGGAACTCAGTAAATAAGGAAACAGTCAAGAATTAGATTTTATCAGCCCTGAGTTTGTTACAGGTTTTATGGGGGTACATTAGTCAGCCCCACTGTGTCAAAAATAATGGCACTAATCTTTCAACGTGCTTCAGTTTCCTCTCCATTACAATATATTTTACATGTCCAGATGCAGAGAGAATGGCAGGGAAGCAACCTGGAGAGTTTTCATGATAAATGGTCACTGAATGGTAGCAGTCCACATACATCAAGAGCAAAGTCAAAGGAACCAGTGTAAAAGTGTGATTTAACTTCCAGGTGACGGCTCTGCAGATGTCATTTAGAGGTATGTTTTTAAGAAAGGCCATGGATGCTGCTATTGCTCTGGGTGGAATGGGCGCATACTGTTGTTGTGGGCTCTCTATTGAATATGGTGTATGCAAGACAGATGAACTCTGACGTCCATTTGGATAGTCTCTGTTTAGAGATGGGCATGCCTTGAGAGAAACAAAGAGCCTGGAGGATTTCCGGAAGGATCTTGTTCTTTATAAGTACAAGGCAATTGCCCTGTGGACATCCAAAGTATGTAAGACGGCCTCCCTGTTGTTAGAAAGAGGCTTAGGACAGAAGATGAGTAAGTTACATGGGTTTGTTACAATGGAAAGAGGTAGGTACTTTTGGGAGAAACTTGAGGTGTGAGTGGAGGACGACCTTATCTTTGTGAAAGATGGTATACGGAGGGTCTGTCATGAGAGCCCTGAGCTCACCCACCCTGCACACTAAAGTGATAGCTTCTAGAAAGGACACTTTCACAGATAAATGCAATAACGAGCATGTAGCCATGGGTTCAAACAGCTTGCCTGTTAGTGCCCTCAGAACTAAATTTAGATCCCAAGCCAAAATCAGAGGTTTATCCGGGGGAATGTGTGTTCTGTAGCCCTTTTAGGAAACATTTGACTATAGGATGTGCAAACAGAGAATAGTCATCTACCTGAAGATGCAGTGCTGTGATCACTGCAAGGTGCTCCCCTTATGGAGCCAAAGGAAGTCCTGTGTCCCTGAGGAGTAACAAGTAGTGCAGTATTTGAGGGAGATCAGTTGACCTTGACAGACAATAGTTAAATGACTCACTAAGTTCAAACTATCTAAAACAAAACTTTTTTCTTTTACAAGAACAATTGAATAACTAACTATGACTAAACAGTAATAACTAACAGTTTTACTTAATTAACTAAGCACAAAAGGATATCTAGGGCAATTGCAGGTTCTGACTGAAGCCAACAGCAGCAGAGAAGGAACTGAGGGGTCAGTTGGCTGTGTGTGTGCAGTAGCCACTCTTGAATGGTGCATGTCAGCTGCCCCGCATGCGCAGCCCACCAAGGGGACTGCTATCTTAATTCTCCAACTAGAGGCATAGCAGCACTGAAACATTTAGGGTCGAGCATCCCCAGGGACACTCTTCAAAGAAGTAAGGAGCCATTTTTTACATATGCCCCATATTAAAGACAGAACCTTCCTTCTCACCTGAGGTAGGCATTATCCTCCCTGAGCTGGAGCAGTTCCCGCTCCATCTTTGGGAATCGGGCGAGTTCTGCTTTCATATTCTTCACAATTGAAGCATCTTGTTCCTGCAGAGAGAGCTTCTGTTCCAGATCCTAGAAGGCAATTG